TGACTGTAACTGAAATGACTTTATGCCTGCCCATTATTATTATTTCCTTGAGTTCCAAGAGGATCATAGGGCTTCAGCAACACATCTCCACTTTCTTCTCTTCTCTGTTGCCCCCTTCAGATGGCTAGCTCCACGACTGCCCATAATCTCTCATCTCCCCCTCTCACGATCTCCTCCATGTCACTCTCGCACTGACGATCATCTAGTCGCTTCCCATTTGGATTCGACTCAAGAGCCTGGTGCTTGATTTAAATTGACAGCCTCCTCAACGTGTGCCTGATCCATATCCATTTTATCCAAATAACTTGTTGGGTAATCGGATCTTAGTTGTTTTTTTTCCCAGACAGAGCTTCTTGTTACGAATTCTTTCTTAACATTCGAACTTCACCATGGAGCCAACGAAGGTAGCCGTTGCTAAGAGTCTGCAGCCTGTTGAGAACTCCTTAAGTGACATGTAGTGCAAGTTTCTGACCCATATGGAAGAAATGACTGACTGACTTCACATTTGTGTTGAAAATTCGAATCTTGTTCTTTATGCTGATGCCTGCTTATATGCATCCTAAATAATTTAATTATTTTGATTATTAATATTATTATTCCCTCGAGTTCCGAGTGAAACGTAGGACTTCACTAATACATTTCCACTTTAGTTTATTCTTTCAGTCTTCTTTAGTTGGCTTCACAGTTGATCATAAGTCTTCATCTTCCGCTAACACAGTCTCATTCATTTCATTGTGGAACATTCACAGTTAATCGTTTATCAGTTTGGGTTGCACCTGAAGGCCCACCTGGATTACGATGTCACTCAACGGTCTTCTCATCATTTGTGCAATCAATCTCAATTTCCTTAATCATATTTGTTGGAAGATACTTTTCCTGTTGGATTGTTGCCTGCCAGACTTCTTTTTTGTTTATCCTTTCTAACCTACCATCTTATCTTCACTATCGAGGCAGCAGTAGTCTGTTGGAAATTCTTTTTATGACGTACGTGTCAAGTTTCCAGACCAGACAGAAGCACAGATTTGTCGGTATTGATGAAGATCTAGATCTTGTTTCTGAATGATTTCACAGTAGTCAAGGTCTGTCGTATTTTCCGGATCCTGCCTGTCTTCGACACCTTTATCTTTGCCACCTATGCTTGAGATTATGCTATCTAGAAAATGGAAAGAGGTGAATACTTTGACCACTATATGTTGAGTATGAGTGGTGTTACTTTACCAGTAAATTTCGAATCTATAAATATGAAAATGAATGATATAGACAAATAGGTAATCACACCTAATATTTGAATACAACACTTTTTTCAGTGCAGTTTCGTTTCCCTAACTGAACCAAACCACACAGACATTTAAATCTTCGACCAGACCCTTCAATAATGCACACAATTACTTCATCATGGCATCAAAATCCCCATTGTCTAGAACTTGCAGCTAACACGTTTCTACCTAACCACCCTGTCAAAATTTATATATTTCACCACCATGATTGAATCCTTAACTCATGCAACATTTGGATGATTTTAGTTTTTATAGTTAACTAACAATTACGCCAGTACCTTTTTTAACTTCCTTTGTCTTTCCCAAGAACATGAATTACCAATGAACTAATCTCTTTTAATCATTTAGGTCATGTTAGGTAAAAAGGAAAAAGAGTTTTCTGCTCCGTAAAAACATGGAGAGGGATTCATTCAATCTTTAAAAGTTAGGCATAAAAGAGACTAGAATAGTACGTCGTTCATAATTAAAAATTTTAACAGTCTGTTAACCAACCAATTAAATGATTATTAATCTGATTAAAAATTGAACACCTGTCTAATTAGCGTATGTTTTGTTTCTTCTTTAAAAAAATATAAGCGAGTAATAATAATAAAACATCTGAGACCAGTCAATTACCTTGAGATAACTCTAAGTTATATGAGAGTAATGTTCAGTCCTCTATTCACTTCATTATTACGTCATTTAAAAAGAGAAGTACAGAAGTAAATTCAAAGTGGCACATGAAAATTTACCAGTAAATAAGTTGAACAATTCTATTAAGTGTATATAAATGCAGTAATAATCGACTGTTTACTTGGAACAGTTCAGCCATTTCAAAGTATCTATACCAGGTACCTGTAAAACGACGGGAGTGAACTTTGAAAGCTGGAGATGAAAATATTCAGTAGCATACTAGTTCCTGCCAAATCAGATATGATTATCGTAACCTAGTTGCCTAGAGAAAAGTCTCATTCTGTTTGTAATGTACATACATAATGGGCTTATATCATGTCGGAAACCAAGGTGCTTAGTGCAATCCAGGTATATTTATGTTCTAGTTGGAGGGTTTCATCATGAGGTGATATCAGTTAGAGAACCATTTGAAAACAATCAGGGAGTACTAGGAATCTGTTTCGTCAGCCTAGTTTGCGACTCTTCATCAGTATACACTTACCGGAAGGGTGGATCTCTTAATTACAAGGCGAGCTAGCTTTTAGACCATTAAGCCACTGGGATGTGACCCGATCCAGTGGCTAGCTGATGAATTCTAACTTCTGCCGATTCATGACATAACGCAACCACTTCATAATGACTTCTTCGATGAGTTACTGCCTCACCTTCAACCCGCTGTACCCTACTGGTCACGAAATCTGAAGAAATCTGCCATCTCATTATGATATTCACACCGATAAAACTATGGGACACAAAGAATCACTCTTTTTTCCTTTAGCAAGCATGTTAACAACCAGCTGTACCTTAAAATCCCTTAATTTAGACTTTCTAAACGCACCTGAAGTACAGTGAAATAAAGTCACCATTACTGATAAGGATGTTGAACTCTGAAGCCATTGTATTCCAGAATATATAGACAACAGAATTCAGAAGTAGGTGAACATTTTTGTATCCTCAGCTAGCTTTAACTTCTGCTAAGAGGTGACTTCCAGTTTTCAGTAAATCAAATTGCACTTGATCGCCTAACGGTTTCTCTGGCATTAGAGAAACTAATTTACATAAATCTATCTACTTTCTAGTAAATTTTACTAAATAAGAGAACCAATAACTTTTTTCATACCTTTTATGAGGCAAAAGACTTACAGAGAAGTCAGTGAGTTTGATGGACATATGTTGTTCGTTTAAGACGTATTATAACCTTCATCAAAATCTTCTGAACTTCATTTGAATACAATATTATTATAATTATTCATTTTTGATGACATAATTCTCAAAGGTTGATCACGAAAACTACCTTCAACACATCTAAAATAGAATTTTAATCATCGAAAAGTGGATTACTAATTAGTAGTGTTGAAGCATGGATGGATTAAAAAAATAACAAGTAATTCGTCAATCCCCCAACGAAGAAGTCTTATGATTGCATATACTGTCGATTGATATGGGCAGTTGTAAGCCGTTCATACCAACCAGTTGTGCTTACCAGCCAGAATGAAGTGATCCAAACACTGGATGGTCATTCCTCTCAGGAAGGGCCAATTCGATCAACAGTGGGTCCTCTTAGACTTATCTCTGACAGCCGAGTAAGAGAAATCTGCCTAAATTCTGGTTGGGTTCTTGTGTCAACTAGGCAATACACATAGAATCAAATCATTCATTTTCAAATTACACATTTCAAGGTGAAAATTTGTCACTGGTTTCTTTTGAAAATTCTAAATATTCGAATCGTAATATGCGATTCACCTGATACTATAAATAGTAATCAATGAAGCAAGTGGAATCGCATAGTGGCATATATTACTGTATAAACTGGTTGGTAGCTGAGTAGCTGAGCCTTATATGACTGATTTCTTGGATGATTTTATATTTTCACCCTCAGGAGGCCTTATTTTATTAAATGACAGTAACTGGGATCCATGTTCTTGCTTGGTTAATTACCAATGATAGCATCAAGTAGACAACATTATGTGATCTGAATATTTTCAGTTTCCAAAGGAAACCGTAGTGGATTTTTATCTCTACCTGTGTATTCGCATGTGATATATATGTCCTCAATTTCGCTGTTAATGTGTTTGAAACCATTGGTATATAAATTACTGGGTTAGCAGGGATTTGAATTCATCTCATTCACTAACCAACATCAGTTAAAGAGATCACTGGGAGCAAAGGACAGCTGTTTTGGGACCCTTTACCAGTCATCTACAACTCAATAAAGGATCAAACCTGAGACGTTCATGTTACGAGATCAAGTTCGTTGACTATTTAGCCACTTGAGCAGGAATCCAGTGACTTGTGAATTTTACCTTTCAAGAGTTGATTTTTAAGGACTTGATTTGTTTTTCGAAACAGACCACGGATCGATATCAGTTAGAAAATCATTGAATTCATGGGTAATTGAATCAGGTTCCAGTGGCTGAAAGGTCTACAAGCTTGCCTTGTAAGTGGCAGGTCCTGGTTTCGAAACTCAGTTGATAAGTACTGATGATGAGTACCAAACTAGGATGAAACAACTCGCTGTCTAGTACTCTCTGCCAGTTTCCAATGATTCTTTAAATGACATCAGTCCATGGTCAAACCTGAAAGATTTTGTCTTTGTCAATTCGTGAAATAATGCTAGTCTCAATCAATGTCTTCGATGAGCATCTACTTTACCAAGACCAGTGAAGAGTTCCAGGCCATTACGAAACAGTTATCTACCGATCCCTGTTTCTGAATGTCCCCTCTAACTGGCATCAATTCGTAATGAAATCTATCAACCGAAATCATTGAGTTCACATTTCCAGATCAAGTCTTGATTTTAGCCAATCATTTTCTTGCTCTTCCCTGATTGGTCAGCTGAAGGTTGTTCTGATAACAAATTAGTCTGGGTCAATTATACACCTAAAAAGATTTCTCATTTCATCAACTTTTAACATGTGATTATTAAACAAGCAGAGAAACAAATGTTGTCAATATTTTATATATTAAATATTTATTTCCTTCAAAAATTTTCATACATCAATTGTAATTTAATTGATTCACCAATAAATGAGGAAAATTTAAATCTGCCTTTATTTGAACATTTAATCACAGGTGAATCAGTGTTAGAGTTGAACAATGATATTCTTCACTTAAAATCATCATCTTTAAGAAATTTCAATATCAAAATGTATGAATCGAAACCAGAGGAGGAAATCCAGTATACTGAGGAAATACCACGATATATTATACAACCACCGCCAATACTTTACACATCGAAATGGCAACCTGCTGTTGTTCAATGTGTTGCAGAATCAGTTGTCTTATTGTATATAGTCTGTGTAACTAATCCAAGTAATTCGAATGCTCGTTATGATTATTCAACGGAAACAACAGGATTACCAACAGTTTATCATACAAATCAAAAATTTAGACAACATAGAAATTCTGATAATGATGATGATGGTGATGATGATGATGTGAAATTTGTAGAGAATTCAAGTGTCAACTATAACAGTAATAATAATCATAATGGGAATAACAAACACAATCGTAAAGTAGTGGTTCGTTTAATTGATGAAAATACTGTTGAAGAATGGTTCGGGGATTATTGGTGTCAATGTGAAGCATGGAATAATATTTTAGAGTTGGGTGAACCACGTGTAAAAATTAGTAATCAGACACATGTACGTATTGCATGTAAGTCAATCGATTTAAATTACCGTTGAACTTTGTGCTCTTTTTATCCTCGCTTGTATATGTCTTTTTGTATTAGTTCGATTGAATAAACTTATGATTAAAATAAATTAATCGATAATCAGTCTAGCAAAAATTATGATGAATGCAACTGTTGATACTTGTAAATTCAAAATAAATGGTTATCAATTTAAACGGTAACGGCATCAGAGGTTATGTTATTTATATTATTATTATTATTATTCCCTAAGGTTCCAAATGGGACAAATGGCTTCAATGGGACATCTCCAGTTAGTTCAGTTTTCTGAAGTCCTCTTTAGCTGACTTCACGATTCTACGCAAGCCCTCGTCGCCTTGCCATATAATTTTTTCTATATCGTTCAGACCATAGTCCAACTAGTCATCTCCCACTCAGGTTCCACTCGAGCGACGTTGGAGTACGCGATGTCATTTGACGGTCTCCTCGGCGTGTATTAAATCCATCTCCATTTTCTTCGGGATACTTTTTGACCACCTGCCTCTTGGTTAGTTTGTTACCAGAGCTTCCTTTTGCTAATTGTTTCTGGATAGTCGTCTAATCTTCAATATGGAGCCAGTAAAGTCAACTGTTGATAAAATAGTTGCAGTAGTCTCTAGGAGATGCTTTCGGTAACACGCTGTCCTTCACTAATACAGAAGAACTAGTTTAATACTGGTGTTGAAAACCTGAATCTTGTTTCTTATGCTTAGTGTGACAGAAATCCACACTGATTTCAGATTAACGACGAGATGGTTTGCTGTTGCGATACTGCTTACCATTCACATCTCCATCCGTTCCGCCTGTAGCTGGAACGATGCTACCTAGATAATTCTAGGAAGTGACATCCTTCAGATTTCTGTAGTTGACAACAATTGGTGTTTGTCGTTGCTGGTTGATTATATTCACTACCTCTGTCTTCTGTATGTTCACCCGAAGTCCTGTCTTCGCTGCTTCTTCTGCCAGTTTGCTGGCTTTCACCTGCAAGTCTTCGAGTTTGTGTGATATTAAATATAAATCATCTGCGAAATCTGGATCTTGTAGAGTCTTGTTATTGGGTCAACATATTCCTGTCTTTTCAATCCCCACAGTCTGACGCATGATCCAGCCCACCATAATGAGAAATATCATCGGTGATGGCAGGCAAATTCGCCTTAATCCTGTCATCACTGTAAACGATTCACTGAGCCTAGGAGTGTGAATCACTTGGAATTTGTCATCATCATATAGCTGTTGATTGAGGTTGATAAACATTTAAGCACTCCACTCCATAGTGTTGAAGAAATTTCCAAATCACTTCGTGATCAGTACTGTCAGAGGCATTTTTGAAGTCGAGGTAGACATTTGGCTGTCATTCTATGCTCTGTTCGTTGATGATGCATAGGGCTGCAATTTGATTATTTTTTTATTATACCTTAATTCCACACCGTATATTGGTACAAGTATGGAATTTTCGGCATGTGGTATCGGTAGCCCAAATTTTGCAGGCCGACCATTGATATCAGATGTGCGTCGGCAGCGGATCGAACTCCAGACCATTTGCATGACCGGCCAGAGTCCTAACCGCTGTGCCACCGACGCACATTATTTCTTTATCGTGAATGTAGCTTGTTCACTTGATGAAAGTGATTCCTTTATGAGGTAGAGAAAACTTGAGATTATGTGGGGAAAAAACATAAAAAAGGGGGAAGAAATAGAATAGCACACATTCAAACTGTTCCATGTTCTAATAAAAGCGATTTCGTTTGGGTTTTTATTGAAAATGATACCTCACTCTCCTATCACATTCAATCTTCTGTCGTAGGCTTTCACTGTCCTTTGCTATCACTCCGTTTTAAGTTCTACATTTTGAGTTAATAAATCAAAATGGGAGCAAATCACACACAGTGTTTTACGGTGATCATTTCCATTCTACTTGTAAAAATGGTCTCTGGAAATCGTCCCTCCTAATACAAACCCGTCCATTGTAACTAAACGATGGAAAAAGAAAGTGGAGTGTTGGATAACAATATAGTCTAGTGACTAACTATTCTGATCAAAGTTTGAAATATAATTTTTAGATAAACTAACATGGTGATAGAATGTGTCTAGTGTTCTTCAGAAAGTCGTTTCAATATCCTGTCATCATCAGAAGGAAGCGTTTATAAACTTAAAGAAACTGCAGCCTCCATGAATACTTATACCCTTTGCTACCTTTGCTAAGATAAGAAATGAAGCCATTGACGTCAAAAATTCACTTACCATGTATCTAGTATATTGTTCCCGCTCTATTCGTCTAACTACTGTCCAAAGGAGAATGGAAAGACTCATTATTTTAGATGCTATTGCGTTGACAGCTTCTGAAATGTTCTGGATGATGAAACGAGGAAAGACTTCAGAACAACTCGGGATAGCTATATTCACTTATGCCTGCTTTCTATTACTTGCCCATCACTCCATTAGTATTAAATACCCATAGATCAAATAAGACAGAATGCACCTGAATAATATGATGGAATGACGAGTGAAATGATCACGAGATAAGGTGAGTAGGTTGGTCAATTAGAGAGCCTTGTTGAGCTCCGACTTAGTAGTCTAAAGGCAGCTGATTTTAACTTCAACGAAACAAGTGATTTCCTTCCAGTTTCATGTACCGCTCCATTATATTACAATTAGTATACCGAAAATTAGACCATCTCAAATATTCTCACTAAAAAATAAGGTTCGTCATACTTTCTGAGACAGTATTCAAGAAGTTTCAGAACAGATATATCCCTTTAGTAGAGTAATGTGTTAAAATTCATTCGTAATGATAAGAAACGTTACTTCTTCATTAGAATGCGTCAGAAATACAAAAGGCCCACAACAAAATTAGTAATTGGATGAAATAAAATCATACCATCTGAGTTAAGCCTAACCTTCTTACAACCAAGAGGGATGGGGTTGATGAAGAAATGTTAGGAGATATTTATCCAATCTGGAATTTTTTTCTCAAACAAAATAGGCAACTTCGGAAGTAGAGCCTTGTCAGTACAAACGCCAATTTGAAGAAGGCCAAGAATCAAGGATGGTAAAGATTATTCTCACTCTCTGTTTAACTTTCTCCTACTTAATGACACTGAAAACAGAATAAAATTTATCTAAGAACCAAATAAAGACTAGCTACTCATCACGTTTTAAGTAGAAGTCAAAATGAATAACCTTCATTTGTAAGCGACAAGGTAACTGGGTGTCAATAAATGAAGCTATCCAGTTTACTGGTGGGCACTTTTGGCCCACTAATATGCAATCCCTCGACACATAGATTTGTGTTTACTGAAATCCATTAATAATTTTGAAGAAACTTAGGTTTTCTTCAAGATTTGAAATCGTGGAATATATGACTGAACTATTTCTCTTACGAAATCATAGTAGAGGGTTGCCAAAGAATTCTAACAAATTAGTGAAGGCATCCGTGAACTAGTCAGAAGGATATTGATGAAATGATAGTGCCTTAAGTGGAAATATGTGCACATCGGTGTTTCAGTGATAGATCACTCACGAATCACGCACGTGGTGCGGTCGATACACTTCTAAGCCACACTTAGCCGGTAATAAGCCCGGTAAATAGGGAAGGTTGTGCGTGAGAGTAGCAATCCCGGCCTGTAAATAAATAAACAGCACTGCTACTGAAACTTCGAGGTTCAGAGCTTGAAGCTCTACGTTGCACTTGGAACACAAAAGGAATAGAATAAAAACAAATAAATAGAAATATGTATAGAGAACGTTTACCTGGCTACCTTTCTTTTATGTTTGACATGAAGCAGTAGCAAAGTAAGCTTGTAGTCTTTCTGAAGTCTTCACTTAGTGAATTCCTAGACTGGGGGACGATTCCAAGAACACTGATACTCTTTTCTTTGGAATGAATAATCCAAGTAACCTCTTACCATGATGATAAATGTCATAGGTTCTAACATCACTGAAGTCTTACAAATAATTTTCAGCGATGAAATACAACCCGAACCCTTAATCAGATATTCAAGAATCAACCTACAAAACAAACCATCGAAAAACAAAGTCCAACAAACAGAAACAAGAACCAATATCAATTCACAATGATTGAAATTATCTTTAAAATTAACTTTGTTAAGCTGCAAACGGAAGTTAGAATGTTTAATTTAGTAAAAACGCAGAAAATGAATGACTTCCTCTTTAAAATGAATTAACTATTTGACGCCAATTTAAACTGTGCCACATAAATCATTGTTCAATGTTCATCATAATCATATGCATCATTATAATTTTTTTTTAAACTCAAAGGTTAAAACTAAAATTTCTAATACTAATTAGTTTAAAAGTGATTCTGTTATGACAAAAGGATAGAAATGGTGACATTATTAAGTTAGTATATTCTTAACCACTGTCATCTATCTATTAAAAATTAAATAGAAAGGATTTTCAGATATTTTTTTTTGAAGTATTGGTTTTGTAGGGATTTTGTTTGATTGGCTGAAGGATTTCATCATGGCCGCTGTATGTCATGAATTGACAGAAGTTAGAATTCATGGGCCTTTGGAGTGGGTCCCAGTGGCTTAATGGTCTACGAGCTAGCTTGCCTTGTAACCAGAAGCTGCTGGGTTGTAACCCTTGCAATGGGTGCGTACTGCTGAAGAGTTACAAACTAGGCTGACGAAACAGCTGTCCAGTACTCTCTGTAGGTTTTCGAATGGTTCTCTAACTGATGTCACCTCATGCTGAAATCCTCCAACCCATTTTTTTAATGACTGGAGAGTTGAACAAGAGATTTCATTAAAACGCTAACATATTTTAAAAATTCTTTTACGATACAACTTGATTTACATAAATCACTGGAATTAATACCAAGTGACATGGATAAATCTAATCTCTAAATTCGAAAATTCATTTGCTTAAAAAATACTGTACAGGTTTCAAGTGCCCAACTTAATACTCCCAAAACATTTGGAACTAAGTATATTACAACTATGGTGAAAAGTCATGACAAGTGGAG